ATAGAAAAATTAAAAGATTCGAATACTGGTGTTGCCTGTATAACTGTTACGTCTGATGGTTAGAAAAAATTTCTAAAAAAATTTTTTGAAAATTTTAAAAATTTGATTTTTTGGTGTAATGGTTAGTGTGTTAGACTCGGGTGGAGAAGGGTCGTGGGTTCGAATCCGCTCCGGGTAAAATTAATTTTTATATGATTCTAAAACGTTTGGGATGTGAAATAAAAATTTTTGAAAATTAAAAAAAATTTTTTTGATGTAGTGGTTGTGTGTTAGACTCGGGTAGTGATGGATTCGTGGGTTCGAATCCGCTCCGGGTAAAATTAATTTTTTTATGATTTTTAAACGTTTGGGATGTGAAATTTAATTTTAAAAATTTTGAAAATTTTTTGAAAAAAATTTTTTTCAAGGAGAAAATTCGATAATTGTCAATCTCGGAGCAAACAAACTTTTGGGAGCCAAAAATGCCAGAAACTACAAATCAGTTATTTGTAATGCTAAAATGATTTTGTGCCAACAAGAAATTGATGAAGATGGAAATTATGAGGCTCTTAGACTTGCCAGAGAGAATGGGGGTAATTGGGAATATTTTAATAACAAAATTTAAAAACTTCATGTTTTGGTGTAGTGGTAGTGTGTTAGGCTTGGTAGAAAAGGGGTCGTGGGTTCGAGTCCGATTGGGGGAATTAATTTTTTTTATAGTATTTAAAAATCTTTTAGGGTTCGGATTTTTTAGAAATTAAAATTTAAAAACTTGATGTTTTGGTGTAGTGGTTAGTGTGTTAGACTCGGTAAAAAAAGGTCGCGGGTTCGAGTCCGCTTGGGGGAAATTAATTTTTTATTGAATTTTAAAATCTTTTTGTGTTACGAATCTTTCTAGAAATTGAAATTTAAAAAAATTAAAGTTTGGTGTAGTGGTAGTGTGTTAGACTTGGGTAAGAAGGGGTCGCGGGTTCGAGCCTGCTTGAGGGGAAATTAATTTTTTATTGAATTTAAAAATTATTTTGAGGTAGAAATTTAATTATAAAAATATTTTTTTGATTTTTAGAAAATTTTAAAATGCAAAAACCCTTAAAAATTAATTTTTATAGTCACCACATTTTACAACCCTGCACCTGGAAATGCCAATATGAATCCAGAATTGTTGAGATTTTGTGATGTAATATGTGCAAATGAGAATGAGGTATGGGAATATTTTTAAAAAATTTTGAAAATTTTTTGAAATTTGAAAATGTGAAGGTTTGGTGTAGTGGTTAGTGTGTTTGACTCGAGTAAAAAAGGGTCGTGGGTTCGAGTCCGCTTGGGGGAAAATTATTTTTTGAAAATTTTTTGGAAAAAATTTTCAATTTTTCAAAAACTTTAAAGGCAGAATTTCTCGCAAATCGCCAAATGTTAAGTGACGAAGATGCTCAAGAATGTGCTCGTATAATATTAGAAAAAGGCCCAAAAATTGTAATTATTACGTTGGGACCTAGAGGTTAAAATTTTGAAAATTAAATTTTTAAATAAATTTTTTAGGTGCTCTAGTAGCCCAAAGGTACGAAATTTCAGAAGAGCCCCATTGGTGTTGGATTAAAGCCCCCAAAGTTTCTGCAGTGGATACTACCGTAATCTAGCTTTATTTATAATAAAATTAAACAAATTTAATTAATGAGGTTTTGGTGTAGTGGTTAGTGTGTTAGACTTGGGTAAGAGAGGTCGTGGGTTCGAGTCCCCTTGGGGGGAAATTGATTTTTAGGCGATTTTAAAATTTTTTGGGGTTTGAAATTTAATTTTAAAATTTTTCAAAAATTTCAAAAAAAAATTTCAGGGAGCCGGAGACTGTTTTTGTGGTTCTCTAGCCCACTTTCTCTTGGAATCAGGGTTTAATACTACTCAAAAAGACATTTATTCAAAAGTAAATCAGGCTGTACAGAAAGCTGTTGAGGTAAATTAAAAAAATTTTTAATGTCAGAATGCCAAGGCAATTTTTTAAAAATTTAAAGAAAAATTTACAGATTGCTGCTATTTCTGTACAAAGACACGGTGCCCAAGCTTCTTACCCCGACTGTGCTGAACTTTATGAGAAAGGAATATTAACTTAAATTTTTTCTAAAAATATTTTAAAGCTTTTTTGAATTTCTTAGAAATTATAATGAAGACTCAAATTGATTTTTAGGTCATTTGTGTCTCCCTTAAGGCTCTATTGGTAAGGGACGTTTCAGTATGAACGATTCCATCTCAAGCCATATTTTGGGTCATAACTTTTTTGATACTTGACCGATTTGGATAATTTTTATACCATTCGAAAGCTCTCGATTTGAGGATTATTTTATCTAGCAGGACTAATTTGATCAGATCACTCTACTAAAAGTTAGAGCCGGATAAGTGCGCGAAATCGTGATTTTTGGTGTTTACTAGGCTCTAACTTTTTGGAGAATGATACGATCAGAACAGTCTAATTATAAAAAAGATGCAGAATCTCGAGAGCTTTCGAATGGTATGAAAATTATTTCTATCAGACGAAAATGAAAAAAGTTATCGGCCAAAATATGAATCGAGACTGATACGGCGATACTGAAACGTCCCCTTACCCTACAAATTTTTTTTGAAAATTTTTTTTTATTTTTGTATAAAATTTTTTATTTTTTTTTTCGATTTTCTAATTGAGTTTCCTGTTAATTTTCTACTTTTTTATTTACTTTATAAAAAAAATTTTTTTTTAATTTTAGAAGAAAAATGAAAATTAAAATTTTTAAAAGAAAAAGGCCTAAAGAAACTAAAGAACCTGAAAATAAAAAAAGAACTAAGAAGGAAGCATCACAGCAAAAAATTTATCAAAATGGGATGACTGGGACTTCAAATTTAAGAGAAAAAGAAGAGCAAATAAATTCGGATTTTTTCAGGTTTTTTAAAATTTTTTGTCCGCAAACTTCGTGCGCAAAATATTTGCGGACTTTTCGTCGCCAAAACTTGTCTGCAAGTAAATGTCGGGCTTTTTCTGCTCAAAATTTATCCGCAAATTCTTCGCAGACTTTTTATCCCTAAATTTTGTCCGCAAGTTATTTGCGGATTTTTTTGTTCACAAAATTTGTCCGCAAAGATTTGCAGACGTTTCCCTAAATTTTATGTTTTTGTTCAATAATTAAAAATTTCAGTGCCCATTTTTGCAAAGAACAATTGGATGATGAAAACAGTTCTCCTTTACTTAAACGTTTACTCGCTGGCCATGCATATGCTCAAAAAGAAGATATTGATAACCTCTTTGAAGAACATTCTGCTTCAATTTCTACTTGGGGGCATTCTACTTCTGTTGGTTTTTTTAATTTTAATATCTAAGTTTTGGCTTTCTTTGGGATTTATAGAGGTTCTAAAATTGCCCAGAAATTATTTAAGTTAGCTAAACGTTCAAATAAAAATTTTTTACCCTTGAAGGGTTCGAACCATCGACCCTCTAACCTAAAATTAACCCACTTAACCAAAAAAATTTTTTCAGAATTTCTTTTCTCTGTTTTCCGTCCCATTTTAAAAATCGAAATTTTAGCCCATTTAAAAATTTCTACGCGTAAAGGGCTCGAACCTTCGACCCTCAAACACAAAATTAGGTAATCCTGCAGAATCTGGGAGACACCTTAAAAACACCTCGAAAATTATTATTTTTTTTCTGAAAATAATTTTATATAGGTAATCGACCATGCTGATCACGAATCTGATATCAGATTTCATCAAATGTGACATTTTATCTATGATTTTTTACCAGATACTTGATGTTGGGGCGCTTTAGTATATTCCCACAGGTTTTCCACCGAAGATTCCGTTGGTCATAACTTTGTTCAGAATCATTCAATCTAGTTGATTCTGGTGTCATTCAACTCAGCTCGTCGAGTTCTCTCGAATGAGCTATTATTTGGATTTTCGATTTTTTGACCCCAAAAATTTTCAAATTTCGAAAGTCTGTAACTCGGCCCTATGGAGTCTGATCGCGGTAATTTCGGTGACATTCGACTCAGTTCGAAAACGCGTATCAGATTAGCCCTAAATTTTTAATGTCGAATTTTTATCCCGAATTTCGACTTGGTCGAAATCGAGTCCGGGACTCGAAATAAACAAATTCTAAGCTCAGATTCGTGATCAGCATGGTCGATTACCTTATATAAAATTATTTTCAGAAAAAAATAATAATTTTCAAGGTGTTTTTAAGGTGTCTCCCAGATTCTGCAGGATTACCCAAAATTAACCCACTTAACCAAAAAAATTTTTTTCAGAATTTAACAAAACAATTAAAAATGGACGATATAATCACTTTTAAACGCCTTCTGCGTCTCTACAAAAACAAGCTAGTTAGTAAAGAAAAAGAACAAAATTTCCAAGAAAATCTGTTTACAAATTTTATGGGGCGTTATTTGGATGTTGTTGCTCTACTAGAGAAGACTGCACGGTTTTTTTAATTTTAATAAATGGGAAAATAAATAATTTTTAGGAGCTAATTTGTCTGCATTCCTTAAATCATTTAATGAGAACTAGAAATTTAATTATTGGAAATAAACAAAGATTACAGAAGGTGAAGGATGAGGTATTTTTGAGGTTTTTTATGTTTTTCTAGGTGTTTTTGGGTCGGAAAAAATTTTTCTGATTAAACTGGGACTTTAAAATGACCCTAAAATTATTTAATTCGTTTGGGCGTGCAAAATAAAATGATTAACCCGCAAAGGGTTCGAACCGGGGACCTTAAAATGAAAATTAACCCACTTAACCAAGAAAAATTTTTATTGAATTTTTTTGCCTTACTTCCACTCCGTTTTAAAAATCAAAAATTTAGTTTATCAAAAAGATTTGCCCTTAAAGGGTTCGAACCTTCGACCTCGAAAACATAAAATTAACCCACTTAACCAAAATATTACTTTATTTAGGGTCTTGAACTAACCGACTCCTTAATTGAAAAATGTCGTGATCAAGGCTTGTCGCGACCCAAAATTCTCATTTTGTGTCCTTTTCGAAAATTTGCTCATAAAATAGTTTGTACAATGAAAGATTTGTTGTTTACACCTGAAGAAAAACCTTTCCTTCAAAATTGGGCAAAATTTGATGAAGAATATGGAAATGAGGATGGAAATAAAATTAACGAGAAACGACAAGTTTCGGATGATTTTAAGGTTTTTTTATTTAAAAGTTCAAATTAAAAAGTTTTTCCGGGAAAGGAGTCGAACCGCCAACCTCAAACATAAAATTAACCCACTTAACCAAAAATCCCTAATTAGCTCGTTTATAAAGGGAAGGGCTTTTGAACCCATGGGACTATCTTAAAGTGAGGATTGACTTGTTTAAATTTAAAAAAAAGATTTTGTCCGCAAAAAATTTGCGGACAAAAAAATTTTTTGCGGAAATTTTTGTTTTTTTTGCAAAAAAATTTTTTTGCGGACTTAAAAATTATTTTTTTATTTTGCCTAATAAAAAATTATTCTAATTTTAGGAATTAATGTCAGGAAATGTAGACGATTGTTTTCGATTAGGTATTGGATTGGCTAAAAAATGCTTAAAATTATACACAAATTTTGATGAGGTTTTTTTTAATTTTTTTAATTCAAAAAAATTTTTTTAGTCGGATATTTTGTTGTGTTCCCCTTTGGGAATTAAAATGATAATTGGTGAAAATGAGGGGGAGAGTAAAGAAGGAGATTCAAGTAAAAAAGATGTTGGTTCAAGTGATTTTTTGGCGTCGATTGAAATTGTGATAATTGAAAGGGTTTGTTTTTCTTTTCTTTTTTTGGAATTTATTTAGGGGGATTCATGACTTCTAACACAAGTAGGGCTCGGATTTATATTTAAATAAATCACTGAAGCGACCCTGCCAGCGAACTGACCACTGTCTTTCTATTTTTTTATCAAATCTATCACTGGTCATAACTGTCTTTCTTCTATTCCAACTCAATAGTCAGACACTGGTCAGTCAAGGCTTGAGCATGACCAGGTAGTGCCCTACTTCAATATAAATCCGAGCCCTAAACATAAGTAATAGGAGGCAACAGTGAAATTTTGTTGACCCCCAACCCTTTCGGGCCCGAATATGCATTTTAGATTTATGACGGGTTACCCGAAAATTAGGAAAATTCCCTTCCCTATAAATTTCTCGAATCAACAGTTTTTACCTTAGAGGGTTCGAACCTTCAACCTCAATCATAAAATTAACCCACTTAACCAAAAAATTTTTGAAGTGGATTTTTTTGTTTTTTTCGATCCAGCTTTAAAAATCAAAATTTTGGTCCATTAAAAAATGTTTTGCCCTAAAAGGGTTCGAACCGTCGACCTCTAACATGGAACTAACCCACTTAACCATAAAAATTTTTTTTGTTGTAAACTCCACTTTTAAGTCTTAATATTTCTAAAATTAATTTTTAAAAAATTTTTAGGCAGATATTTTAATAATGCAAAATTGGGAGCATTTAATAAACACAATTTCCGCTCTAAATAAAATGCCGTCAAAAGTTTCTACTGATATTACAAGAATTAGGCGTTGGTCTTCAATTGATGGTTTGGCAAAACATTATAGACAAACAATCTGTTTTTCTCAAATTAATTTTGTTGAAATGCATTCTTTGTGAGGGTTTTTTTTATTTTTGGTACTTTGTTCATAAGCCACCCCCCACTCCTATTTGAGTCGCAGATTAATTTTCCCTCTTTGCTGTCAATCATTTATTTTCCTTCTTTCTTAATGCCAATCATTTTCTTCCCTCAAATAGGACACCCAAAAGGGCGTCGGCCCGAACGGCGCAAAGCCATAACTTGCAGGAATATTTTTGACCTTTGTCATTTTTGGTACCAATCTCTTTAGCTCGATGTGAGGAATCGTTTAATATTAGATTTGGTAAGGTTAGAAAATCTTGAAGCAAGTTATGGCTTTGCGCCGTTCGGGCCGACGCCCTTTTGGGTGACCTATATTCGAGGGAAGAAAATGATTGGCATTAAGAAAGGTGGAAAATAAATGATTGACAGCAAAGAGGGAAAATTAACCTGAGACTCAATTAGGAGTGGCGGGTGGCTTATGAACAAAGTACCTTATTTTTAAGGGTTTTAAGTAGGGATGTCATTTATGAACTGGGAATGGGTCAGGTTGAGAAAAATTGATTTGGGTCTGGGTTTTCAAAATTTTCTTCGGATTTTTTCCTGGTTTGGGTCGAAAATTTAAAAAAATTTGTCAGGGTTTCGAGAGAACTGACCCATCTTATAGAAAACGAAGCGTAGAATCGAGATGCAGAAAACGTCAGTAACTCTTGATTTTCGGTAATCATGGTGGATAGACCTCCTGATTATGTTCTGGATATCTGAATTTTTTCAATAACCGACAACTCTATTTGTAAGAAAAATCCGCAAATATTTGCGGATTTTTTGTCCTCAAATTTGTCCTTTGGCCTCGACGGGAGCAGGCCAATATACCGCGAGCCCAGTATACCGTCGAGCTATAACTTCGTAAAAATTGTCGAATCCGGGACGCCCTGGTATGTTTCGATTCAGCTCGATGAGGCGCATCGAACTAACCAGGGCCTCCCTGATTCGACAATATTGAACGAAATTATAACTCGGCGGTATACTGGGCTCGCGGTATAACGGGGTGTACCCGGCCTCGACTACTTCCCTTTTTAAATTAATTTTTTTTAAAAATTTTTTAGATTTGCCCAACATTGTTCTAATTTTGCCGGTATAGCTACAATAAAACAAAACCTTTCAGAACCTCTTCCAATTAAAAAAGTTTAATTTTAAATTAATTAAAAAATTTTTAAATTTAAATTTTAAGTTTTTCTATCCAAGTATTCAATATTTTCATCGGTTTGAGGCAATTTCCCCAACAGAACAGGCAAATGAACGCTTCAAATATTTTGTTGAACAAATACTTCCAAAATGTATTTTTTTTTATTTTTTTTTTGGAAATTTTTGCGGACAAAAATTTGCGGACATAAATTTTTTGCGGACAAACTAAAATTTTTCTGACAAATTATTGGGACAGATTTCTGCGGACATAATTTGCGGATATTTTTTTGCGGAAAATTTTTTGCTCACAAAATTTTTCAGATCAATTTTTGCGGACAAAATTTATTTGCGGACAGATTTTTCAGGACAAATTTCTGAAATTTTTTCCAAAATTTTTTATTAAATTTTTTTTCATTTTTTAGGTGAAACAGGCACTCTAATATTTATTCCTTCCTATTTTGATTTTGTTCGAATTCGAAACTTTTTGAAAAAACGAAATAATGAAACATTTGTTCAACTACATGAATATGCAGAACAGGGAAAAATAGCTAAAGCTAGACTATTATTTTTCAAAGGAGAAAGAAAATTGATGTTATTTACTGAAAGGTTTGCAGATTTTTTATAGGGACTAATTTTTAATTTTAAAAATAGAATTTAAAATTTTGGGAGGGAGGTGGTAGGTATGGGGTAGGCCTGGGTAATTTGTGGACTTGTAACTTTGCGATAAGGATAGCTAGAGCTATGAAATTTTGTATAGGAATAGATTATAGGGTTAGCTATACGTCCCCTAATTTTTAGAATTTTTGGATGACTTTTAAGAAAATTATAATATTGGGACAAAATGTCATCTCTTGACTTTGTGGGGGAAAAGAGCTAAAAAATAATTTTTTAAATTAAAATTATTTTTAAATTATTTTTAGATTACACTTCTTCTTTCGTTACCAAATTAAAGGAATTCGTTCCTTATTGTTTTACCAACCTCCAATTAATCCAGAATTTTATCCTGAATTTTTACAAATGTCGGCAACTTTGCAAAAGAAGGATTTTGATAATCAAGAAAATGATAAATTGGTAAAAATAAAATTTTTAAAAATTTAAAAACAATGAAATTTGTCTTTAGGAACTATTTTTGGGATCTTAAATATTTTTAGGAATTGTTAAAAAATAAAGGGACCCAAGCGGACTCGAACCCGGCCCATTATTTGAGTGTAGCCTAACACTTTCCCACTTAACCAAAAATTTTTTAAGGAAGGATAAATCTTATATGAGTTTTTGAGCTTTTAAACATTTTTACAGCTTGTTAAAAAATAAAGGTCCACGACCGGGTCCGAACCGTGCCCATTTTTTTAATTAGACTAACACGGTCCCACTTAACCACAAAAAATTTTTTGAGGGGAAATGAGTCCTATGGTAAGGAAATTAAATTTAAGAAATTTTTAAAATATTTTTTTTAAATTCTAGGGGCCTAACAACCTCTTAAAAATATTTTTTAATTTCAGCAAAAATCCTCTCAACAACAACAACAAAATTCCATAAAACACGTTAATTCATTAATGCTCTATTGCCGTTTTGATATACTTCGACTAGAAAATATTTTTGGCCTTAAAGCGACGCAAAGGCTACTATCTGGGGATGCGATACAAAATTTAAAATTAGAATAAATTTGAAGGTTGTTAACATTTAGTTAGACCTCGATATAAGATAAACCCTTAGGGAGGAAAGATCACACCTAATAATGAGAGTATCTTAAATAGAGGGTTGGCTTGGGTATCGCCTACCCTCAAATTTTAAGAAACGTCGCTAAATAGAGGGACGTTTTTTAAATTTGGCTGGCTACTGTGTGGAGGAGAGTCATGCCTCACTTTAATCGATACCCTCTATTTAAGGTACCTCATTATAAGACATAATATTTTAACCCTTAAGGGTGTATCGCATAGCTAGGTTTGACTTAATTTGAAACACCAAAAAGTCGAAAAAAATTTTTTTAAATTTTAATCGAACAATTTCAATTTTTAAACATACATACAAGTTAAATTATATATTTAAATACATAAATATTTTTAAAAATCATTAAACATTTTTACATCAATCTAACTTCCTTCCCAGTCTTCTTTAAAATCTCCAATAATTGTTCTGACGATAATTCCTCACTTTCCAATTGAACCGATTTTGAAGGCAAATCGATTTGGACATTGGAAACCTTGTCTAAAAATTTTTAAAAAAATTTTTTGGGGTTTAAAAAATTTTTGGAATACCCCCAAGTTTGCCAAGTACACGCTGAACTTGACCTGAACAGCCAGAACAAGTCATTTCGACGTGGAATTTGTGGATCTAAAAAATAATAGGGGGTTGAATTTGAATGGATAAAAGGAGAACTTTATTTAATTTTAAATTTTAAAGGGCTAAAAAATAAAGGGGACCCGAGCGGACTCGAACCTTGCCCATATTTCTGAAAATAGGCTAACACGGTCCCACTTAACCAAAAAATTTTGAGGGGAGAATAATCTTTATATGAATTTTGAGCTTTTAGGCATTTTTAAAATAATTAAAAAATAAGGGGACCCGAGCGGGTTCGAACCTCGCCCATATTTCTGAAAATAGGCTAACACTGTCCCACTTAACCAAAAAAAACTTTTCCAGCAAAATACACCAAATCTTGGGAAAATTTATTTAGCTAGGGTTCTTAATAAATTTTAAACGTTCTAAAAATTTTTAGAATAAAAAAATTTACCGGTTTCGAAGACATTAAACTTCCACAAAGAAAATTTACAAAAATAGCAACACTAAATGACCAAAGAAAATAAATAGAATAAAATAAATTTAATTTTCTACACAAAACTGATAAAAATAAATTAG